GTCTGGACCATTAAAAATATAGAAAAATTAATATAGTTGGAACCCTGCTGAGAGAGGCGATTATTCTCAAAGGTCAGTTTATCCTGACAAGGCAAAACCCTTGATTCATCTAAATACTCCAAGCTTGGATGGAGAAAAGGACCACTGCCAGTTTTGTCTTCCTAGTTTCCCCCATGTGAATTGCGTGTCTTAAGAAGAGAAAAAAATTCCCTTCCACCTGGCCTCTTTTTCTCTTCTTTCTCATGCCCATATGCACACATGTTGAGAAGCAAACAAGCTGACCGTATTTCAAAACTCAACAGCCATTAGAGAAGGAAGCGATAAAGACAAAGGACACTGGATGCTTCGTCGCTGTGGAGCATGGCACTGATGCACGTCACATGGACATTTCTTTAAAATGCAAATAGCAGTAGTGGGGAAGCAAACGGGGCTCACCTCTGTATAGAAACAATGGGGGTTAGGGAGAGAGAAAGAAAGAAAAAGGAAGCCTATGTCAATGGATAAAGGTGTTTCTCAGCATGGCAAGTCTGAGATACATAGATATTTCTTGTTTTATATGATAGCTTTGAGGAAGCTGTTGCTCATGGTGATGGCAATAGATTATTAACACCACTGAAACCACAAGAAATAGCTAATCTCCTGAACATTACTGTCAGACCTATATTCATTGAGTATGTGGGAAGGATAGAAAATATACATAAGTTGGAGGTTTTGCACATGGTCAGAAATCTGTTTAATTGTTTTTATGCCAAACCCAAGGTTCTTAGCAGTAACCTGCACAGAAGACAACTGATACATAAATACTCTCAAAAAATCAGGAGACACTTTTAGAACTCTCATTCTCAAAACCATAGGATATAGGACAGCCTTGTATTTTTCTTCTCTTGCACATCAAAGAGAACAAGAAAGAGTTCTGCAGCTAACCAGCTTTATTTGCCATAAGCTTTTGTGGGTTTCAACCCACTTTGTCAGTGCATCTGGATGCACATGCAATCTATGAAAGTTTATGCCAAGTAAAACCTATTAGTCTGTAAAGCTGTCTGAAAAAGTTTGTTGTTCTTGCTGCAAGAGACAAAGAGTATCTACCACTCTGGAAATATCAAGTGAAATTTGAGATAATTTTAGGTAAGACAAGTGCTTCATATTATCAAGTGAAATTTGAGATAATTTTAGGTCAGACAAGTGTTTCATATTCTGCTCAAACTCTTTTGATAGCAAATTCTGTATATACTACTCAGAAGAAATCCTAGCTAGTTGAATGGGACTTATTTCTAAAGACATGCAGCTGCATCCATAACTGCCAATGTGATATAAAATTTCAGCCTTACTGATAAAAATATAGGAAGGAAACCCTTTTATGTTTGTTTGTTGTTTCAATTTATATACTGCCGCATAGCGCTAGAGCATTCTCTGGGTAGTTTACAACATAATTATGTGAACAACCACTTGCGCCCCCTGTGAGCTGGGTACCCATTTTAGCAACCTCAGAAGGATGAAAGGCTGAGCCAACCTTGAGTCGGCTTCCTTAATCTGTCAGGCTCAAACGCAGGTGATGAGCAGAGGCTTGACTGCAATGCTGCAGTTAAATCAGTGTACCATGAAGTTCTTGATTAATTAGATAATGTTGTCTATTTTCACTTTGTTAATTTCTGCAAAGACACAATTGGGTGCAGAGTGTTTCAGACACATAATTGTACAGTAAATAAAACTAAAAATAAAATGAGCAATCATAGCTGTTTTTGGGAAGCCTAGTCTGAGATCTCTTACAACTAGCTTTGCAAGAGAACAAACATAACATTCACAGCATAGATTCCTTTTTACCAGACCAAATTACAAAGCTGAATTTTTTTTTATTTCTCTTTTCACTTGCTCACCAATTTGTTCGTTATCTGTAATTTGCAGAGGATGGAATAGAATTATCTTCCCTATAAGTATGAAGTACAGTGAGAATATGCTCTGGTCCCAAATATTAGGCTGGATAGTCATCAAATCCCGGACAGTAACTTATTTGTGTACATCTGTGCATGAAATACAGAATGTACTTATTTATACTGCAAAACACATAAAACAAAAACAAGAAATGCCACTCCCATTTCTAATAATCAAAGCTAAATCTCAGTTTATATACTGTATAAAACATAAGTTCCAAACCAAATAACTCAACCACATTCAGTAAAATTGTTTCATTATACATAATGTATATACATAATGTAAATCCTAAAACTCTGTTCATAATTATTACATCCCAAACCTTCTGACATTTTCTGTAAAATATAATAGCTCGTTTTCATTATTTATTTATTTATTGCCTTTATACCCCGCCCATATAGTCGATTGACTACTCCACATCTAGAGAGACAGACCTTTATTTAATTCATTCTATTTATTGCTCATTTGTGTAAAACAGTAAACAAGAAGAATGCACCAGATACTCAAGTGTCATTTTCTTCCACACTAGGGTGAATGACTAATATTTGTCGCTATCTTCTAACCTTATGCTCTAAAGATTTTCAGACAGAACTGTCCAATCCCATCTTTACTGTTTTTATTTTTCTATTCAGCATTAATGAAGCAATTACTAACAGCCAAAGAAGACTGGAAATTAAATATATGTAGATGTAACCTGCAGGTTTTTACAAATACATATAGTATCAGTGGTGGGTCAGTGGAAAGCAGATAACTAAAGGCATGAAATTTCCCCCGGGTTCTGGTTCCAGGGAAAGTTCATTTATTTTGAAAATAAATCCTCTATACCTCCCAATGCAAAAAGCACATTCATAGGAAGGACAGACCCTTTCAATCACTGTTTCCCCCCTTTTCTGATTCTATTTGTGCTTTTAAAATCTGCACAGGAATGCATTCACAGTGCAATCCTGTGCACTGTGCAATGTAATTTTGCACCATGTATACAAAAGACAATCCAGCAAATAACCAAGATAATGCCATTGAAGTAGCCTGCTTCTGGTAAAAAAACAGTATAATTACCTTAACATTTTTATTCGTTTTCAATCTTACCTATATTTCATATACATTCCTAATTCTAAATTGTGCAATGCTAAGAAAGAAAGAAAGAAAGAAAGAAAGAAAGAAAGAAAGAAAGAAAGAAAGAAAGAAAGAAAGAAAGAAGAAAGAAAGAAAGAAAGAAAGAAAGAAAGAAAGAAAGAAAGAAAGAAAGAAAGAAAGAAAGAAAGAAAGAAAGAAAGAAAGAATCTTATACATGTCTACTCAGAAATAAGTCCTATTGGGTTCATTGTGACCTGATCCCACAAATGTGTCTGTGCAGAATTGTAATTCAATTCCTATCCAGTTTGGCCCTTGATTTACGGTTTAGGTAAGGTTTTGAAACAGAAATTTCATGGTTCACCTTTTAAAGATCCTAGGCAATTCATGTGCCAGAACCACACTGTGTGCAAGTGATTGTATACAGCTCTAAAAGCAAAAGTATATCCCTGGAGCATAAAGCAGAAGCGTGAAAATAACACATTCAGGCTTGTTCCTCCCTTTATATACATACATATGTGACCAAAATAAACACCAAACAAGCAGACAACAAACTGAAGTGTGAAGCTTTAGTGAGACAAAATATTTTTTTGAATTATATGAAATTACACATGATTTAAAAAAAGGATCTATAAATTATGGATCTAGGCATGTTGCTGCTGGTGAAAAAAGAAGTTTGGGATAGTTCTTTTTTTCAGGTATGGCTTCTCAAGGCAGCACCAGAAGGTCCTGCTGAGATGGCTTCCTGTTCTTTCTCTGGTTAAGCAGGTTGTTCTTGAAACGAACATGCACACAACAGCATGGCAGTAAAGAAGTTTTGCTTGCTACATACATGCACATTGCTATATATGAGACTAGTTTCCTCAGTGTTATCTTTTATCAGTCTGATAAAAATGTATGCTTTATCATTGATTTGAACAATAGAGGCAATTCAGTTTGCTACGATGATTACTCTTATTCACTGTTTCCCCCACAACTCCAGCATAAATTTATATCAGGAACTTTAACTGGCAGCTTAAGGCAGAACTTATACATGATAGAGGCAGATAGATTTGTTTAAATCCAGTTCTACCACAGTCATGGAGAAAATCAGGAGGAAAAGGTCTACGTTCTGCTGCAACACTGGAAGACGAGTGAGGGGACTCACCAAAGTGAACTTAACGTACTTCCCTAAAGAGGTATAAAAATTACACCTTTTGGATTGGGCAACTTCCAGAATACCCCCAATGAGCATGTTCAAAAAAAATGAAAGAACGACAAACTTCTCCGAGCTCTACTCTCTTGCTCCAGTTGTGCATTCTGGAGTTTGGCTGAGAAGAGAGATGCCTGTGGAGAACAGTATGTGAGCAAGTAAATCCTGGGCAGGAATACAGGTTTTCCTTCTCAACCTGTGTCATTTTTTTGATTTAAAAATCTTACACATGAAACCACATCCTACAGGATTAGGGTTTAAGCAAACAAGACACCTCCATGTGTAGTATGAGGATAACAGCATACACATAAATACTAACCCGCTTCTTCAAATAAATTCAATAGCCTGGGTTCTTTTGTTTTAAGAGCAGGCTATTTATTTAATTTTTTAATTAAAAGAGGTGTTGGAAAACTTATGCCAACTTGTCCTGAATGCACATGCATGTAGGTGGTAGACAAATGACTGTCATGATGAACATTTGAAAACAAAAAACTAAGAAGATGAACACATACAAAAATTGATTTCAACCACAGTAGCTTTCACCAGTAAGAGGACACGGCCATATCACCACCACCAAAACCTGTCTTCTAAGTACCTTGACAACTAGAAGGTGAATGTTGATCATTAGGTACACCTTAACTCTGAAAGACAACCAGGCTTACAATGAATAATAAACCACCACATAGAGCTAGGCACTGACCGCAGAACATAATCCAAGGTTCTGTTGGTTCCTCTCAAAACAAGCACAGCACAAAACCAGGTGAAGACACTTGCTGAATGAAAGATGAAATTGAAAAGCATTACATACCTGTACAGCACTTATTCTACTCAATCTTCTTCTGCGTCATTGAAAGAAGACTGCTAAATTTAACCACGAAAAGCAGCTTAAATCTGGTGGATTAAAAAAATGAGAAAACATTATGTTTAAATGGAAACAATATGAACGAAATGGAAAGCAAATACAGAACGTTGCTCAGACTTCAAACTCCAAGCTTTCAGCTGGCTTTTGCTCCCCTTCTGCATAAGTGCATATTCCCCCCCCCTTTCTAAAGTTGCTACGTAGTGGTCTATAAATATTGGCCCCAGCACTTGCTCACTCCTCAACTTGCTCATGGCACAGGTCTCTGTTACTGTACACCATGGTATTACTCGGCTGAAGTCCTCAGCTGCTCAGACAAAGGCATGATTTGGCTCCCTATTCTGCAAAGTGCTGTGCCTGCCTGGAAATACCACTTTGCTGCCAGTTTTACAGATGCTGTGGGCCTTTCCTGGAGGCTCGGATCAGGCACAGAAGAGTAGTTATGAGGCTTGTCTGAAGAAATAAGAGCTTTCTCCAAGCAGGTGGAAAGGAAAAGTGAAAGGAAAGGGGAAAACAGGAGGGAAGAACTACCTTTGTTTTGGCTAACCTGCCTAATCTCCAACCCCCTTTACAGCTTTATATATCTAAATATTATTCAATTAGGATCATTAAATTTAATTACTGCATAATGTGGACCTCAAAAATTTCTGGAAGGCCATTCGTTAAAAAAACAGCTTTATTTCCCATAAGTGTTTAAAAAGGAATCAGGCTTAAATAAACGGCAGCAAGATGCAATGATAGGGAATAAAGAGTAGTTTGTCCATACTGGTTAGTAATAATACCCAAAGATTTTAGATCTCTTGAAAAGTTGGAAGTTGCAAGTTTATTACAGTGGTGTAGTATATAAAGGGTGCTTAATGGGGATAAGCAAGTGTGTGTCTGCTGAGAAGTAAATGTCTGCATTCAGCGACAGCCCCAGATGTAGAAGATTACTACCTAGAGGTCTAGCCTTTCTGCAGTCTCATGTCCTATGACTCTCTTGCTGTAGTGTTTATCAGACTCTGTGTAAATTTGATGTTAGTCGCATTGGAGTTGACCAGTGGATGCCAGCCTTGGGTAATCCAGTTGTTCTTGGACTGCAACTCCCAGAAACCTCAGCCAGCACAGCTAGTGATGAAGGCTTCTGGGAGTTGCCGTCCAAGAACACCTGGATTACCCAAGACTAGGCAATACTAGGGTAGACCCAAGTGTTGAGGATCTTTGGTGAATCCTTTGTGAAACCCAACAATAAGCTGCAAGTAGAGTAGTCCTGTTAAATCAATGTTGAATCAACATCTACATAGATATTGACACCAAATCCCCACTACTTCAATGGTCCTACTCTAGTTTCAGCCGCTGTTGTATGGATAAGCACAGATATCTTCCATGTATTAAAATCATTTAATCAATGCTCTGATACCAAACTACTGTTGGATTTTCTACTTAAAAGTATGGCTGGAAAATAGTTATAGTTGAAAAAAGAATGAAGCAAAAAACCTTCTTAATTTTGAATGCATATCTATTAATACTGATATCTCAGTGTCAAGGACATAGTTCCATCCCAACCAAAAACTGCCAACTTCATCTCTTTCTCAAGGATGCTTTCTTATACACCAAATGAACTTGATTACATTGTGCCACCATCAAAGAACTCAGGACTTCCTTTTTAATAATACCACCAGAGCAACAGGGCCTGGAACATTTGGGAAGCCAAGAACATTATTCAGATGTCTCCCGTTAAAGAGGTGGAATTGCACCATCTCATTGAATTCCGTGGCTCAGAGGCAACTTGCCTCTGAATTTTGTATCATTTGCTGAACTCTCTTAATTATTATGTATTTACTTGTTATTTTTAAATTCTATTTTTCCTCCAATGAGCTCACCACTGTGTCCTTTTCCTCTCTTTATTTTCACAACACCCGTCTGAGAAATGCCAGTCAGAGAAAGTGAATGATCCAACAAACTACAGCAGAATCTCCCATATTCAGCCCAACACCTCTTAATATAGTCAGAGTGCCATACCAGCTCTTTCAGCTTTGAATGGATCTGAATGAAATTACTTCCCAATGTCCTACTATCAGTGAACAACTGTGGTCTCCCTTTGCATAATGGACCATTCTTGCTATCTGGGGATATACTCCTTAATGTTTCCTATAGTCAGTCATATCTAGAATCTAGCTTATTCTTGTAGTCAAAGCATTAAGCAAAATATTCAATTAGCATTATATTGACACCAAATCCCCACTACTTCAATGGGCCTACTCTAGTTTCAGCCGCTGTCGTATGGATAAGCACAGATATCTTTCATGTATTAAAATCATTTAATGAATGCTCTGATGCCAAACTACTGTTGGATTTTCTACTTAAAGTATGGCTGGAAAATAGTTATAGTTGAAAAAAAAATGAAGCTTATTCTTGAAGTCAAAGCATTAAACAAAATATTCAATTAGCATTAAAATAAAGCTCAATCCAATCCAGTTATGTAGTGGAAAAACAAATTAATTCCTCTTGCATCACATCCTTAATCTTCTGGCTTGACTCCAAACCAGCGACACGTCCCAGAATAAGAACGTCTAAAAGACATGCAAGTTTGTGGTAAGAACTTGCCTTCCTGGTAGGAAGGCAAAATGTAATACATTTTGTGAGAATATTGCTCTGATTTTGACTCTCCACTCACATGGACCCACATAAACATATTTCAGTGAAGCCTTAGAGATCCTATTCAGAGAAAAGGGATTACCTACTAGGGATCACCAAGTACTGTAGGTTTAGAGCTGTACAGTTAGAACAGACCCTACAGATTGAGTCCAGCCCCTTTAAATGAGGCTCAGTGGGAAATCAAACTCCCAACCTCTGGCAGTGCAGCTGGAGACTAAACCACTGAGCTATCCAGATTTCATCTAGTTACTTTTCTACTGAAGGCGGGCATCATTCTGTATTGTGCTGCATCCAAACCAGTCTCCAGGATTCTTCGGCCAAATAGTTCTCCTTTCTGCCCTTCTTTCCTCATTTTCTGCATTTTTCTTTTCTCATTAAAAGACCAGTATTCTGTATGTTATTGCTGTCTGAGAAATGCCAATCAAGGAAAGTGAATGGTCCAATGAAGAACTGCAGTTGAATCTCCCATGTCCAGGAGATGTTTGTATAAGGTTTCCACAACTTTCTGTGGTGAATTGTGGGTAGTTATTGACGTGCATCTCAGTTACACAGTCGGGCCTATGATTAGGCAAGAAATCAAGATGTGCCCCAGTACCTTGTCAATTAGCCATGGTAAATTATGCAAACCTTAGGTGAACACCAATAGAATTCTAAGCTACGTGTTTATGATTTCTTGGCATTTATCTGTAATACATTTTGTGAGAATATTGCTCTGATTTTGACTCTCCACTCACATGGACCCACATAAACATATTTCAGTGAAGCCTTAGAGATCCTATTCAGAGAAAAGGGATTACCTAGTAGGGATCACCAAGTAGATTTAGAACTGTCCAGTTAGAACGGACCCTACAGATTGAGTCTAGCCCCTCTAAATGAGGCTCAGTGGGAAATCAAACTCCCAACCTCTGGCAGTGCAGCTGGAGACTAAACCACTAAGCTATCCAGATTTCATCTAGTTACTTTTCTACTGAAGGTGGGCATCATTCTGTATTGTGCTGCATCCAAACCAGTCTCCAGGATTCTTCGGCCAAATAGTTCTCCTTTCTGCCCTTCTTTCCTCATTTTCTGCATTTTTCTTTTCTCATTAAAAGACCAGTATTCTGTATGTTATTGCTGTCTGAGAAATGCCAATCAAGGAAAGTGAATGGTCCAATGAAGAACTGCAGTTGAATCTCCAGGAGATGTTTGTATAAGGTTTCCACAACTTTCTGTGGTGAATTGTGGGTAGTTATTGACGTGCATCTCAGTTACACAGTCGGGCCTATGATTAGGCAAGAAATCAAGATGTGCCCCAGTACCTTGTCAATTAGCCATGGCAAATTATGCAAACCTTAGATGAACACCAATAGAATTCTAAGCTACGTGTTTATGATTTCTTGGCATTTATCCATTTTGTCTAATAAAACTTTTTTACTGGTTACATTCTTGATCCAAGAAATTCTTAGCAATAAATCTACATTTTGAATGCTTCTGTCCTGGGGAGAAGGAGAACCAGGAAAATCCTATGGACATTCAGTTTACAGTAATAGCCATGCAACAAATTACAATAATGACAGACATTTACACACATCTGGCTATAATAATTTCAATTGTCCAAATCTTCCCTGGTAGGTTTCATACTCACATGCTATAGCATCTCTCCCACCTCCTGAGCCTGGGCCAGCCAAATGAACATCTCTACCCTTCCTAAACAGCAATATATTCCATTCCTTCATGGCTACTTCTCCCACAACTTTTCTGTGGGTCTACACTGTGTTTGGGACATATACATATACTTCCTTGATACTGCTTTTGCAGTTTTATATGCTCAAAACATGATTTGGAGTCAGCCTGCATCAAATAGGAAAGGATACTTATTTGGGAGGGGAAAATTGTCCCCTGTAGAATGCACCACCCATCAGCAATAATTCAGGATGTCAAAAAAATTGAATTATTATTCTTTCATTCCACATGAGAACTGGAGCAATGTTCTCATTCGGATTTAGCTTGAGAGTTCTACCTGTCTCAAACGTGACTGGCCATTTAATTCCATGACATCATTGGTTTGAATATATGTTCCTTGACTAGCTGATTCACACAAGCCCACAAGAAAAACGACTCTAATCAAAAATGTGTCAAAGCTCTAAACACAAAAGGATCTGAAAACACCCATATGCTGACAAAGCAGCTTTAACAAAAGCAGTAAATAGGACTGATAATTTATTTATTTATTAGATTTATATCCCGCCCTTCTAGACAATGTCTACTCAGGGCGGCTTACAATAAAACATATCATAAAACAGTTAAAACAAATTTAGTCAATGGCATTAGTATTGTTCAAGATTGGCAATGTGAGGAAAAAGCTAAGGTAAGAAGTAAACGTTAAGTACTGACAGAAGGCAAGGCCTGCCTAAAG